AACCCGGCCCCCAGCTCAAAAAGGTTGCCTACCCCTGATCTAAAGGATTAAGCAAAGGAAGACAATGCCAAATAAACTTACAGAATTCCAACAGGCTTAACTGTTTGCGCTCATACTAAAGGCTGGATGAATGAGAGAGTAGTCAGTGGTTTCAGGACATATTACACTCTTGCCTTTCACCAGCGGATGGTTCCTTTTTTAATAAGAGTTAATATCCAGTACTTACACTGACCCAGAGATAAGTTGACTCAGTGTTTTGGGACTATTTTTGACCAAAATGTCTAGACATGAGTATATTCAGTAGTCCTTTGCTGCTGGGATTCACATACCTCTGTTCGCTGGCAAAGAAGCTGCAAAGAACAAAGTTTTATGGATCTAGAATCCAGCCTTTGAGGGGAGTGGAGTTTAGCAGTTGCAAGGAGGCTACAGCTTATCAAAGATGAATGGCTGTTACTGGTCCTCCAGATGTTGTTGGACTGAAATTCCCATCAGCCCTAGAGGTATAGCCAGAGGAACAATGGGAGTTTTAAGCTAGCATTGCTTTTGAGGGCGACAAGTGGCCCACCTTTGCTCAAGAACGTAGCCTTATTTATTGAAATGTGGGTTTTTAGAAGTCTTTCTTTCTGGCAGGGGTGGGGAACAGTCAAGGAGCTTAAATTCAATTTTAGAGAGGAATCTTAGGGGCCACATTCCACTGGTGGATGGGGCCAAAGGGAAAAGTGGTCACTCCAAAATACCAATAGATTTTAGCTTAAATATCTTGCTACCAAAAACTAAGCTTTAGGAGAGGAATTTTAACATTTTAGAGTGGGGAAAAACATGCTTAAACTGAGGAGGGGGCATGAGGAAGGGAGTTTGGCCACCTGGAAAAACCCAGAGGGCAAGATGTGCCTGCTGGACCTGCTTTCCCCAATCTTTTCTCTGACGTTCTTCATTCTCTTAGGAATTCATTTGATGCCCATCTTGATGTTCCAAAATAAAACGGACACCAAGTTTGTGAAAGTCTTGGCCAGTTTCCCAGCCATGTTGGCCGTGAGTGCCTGTGCCCACATTCAGTGGGACCAGCGGACCACAGAGATTTCCACCGTCTTCTCCTACGCGGTGCCGGCCTTCATCAACGAATTCCAGTTGCGGGGTTTCGTGGATGAGGATGGCTTTGTCCGCTTTGCCCTCATCCTCCACGGACACCATTCTCCGTACTTCCCGGTCTTCCGTGCTGACAGGCGATGGCACCACTTCTGTATCACATGGCAGCAGCGTAACGGAACCTGGGCGATCTACGCCGACGGGAAGGAAAAGGCCTCATCCGCAGGGCTGTCTGCCTCCCACGCCATCGGTGGGCATGGCACCTTCATTATTGGGCAAGACCAGGACTCCCTCGGTGGGGCTTTCAAGGAGAAGGAGTCCTTCAGTGGGAACCTCACCAGCCTGCAAATTTGGCAGCGTGTCCTCAGCAGGGAGCAGGTGGAGAAGGTCCGCTCCTGTGTCCCCATCACCGAAGGGCTGGTGTTTGGCTGGAGCCGGGATATCCTTGAGGTTGAAGCTACGGTCAAGCAAGCTGTGGTGCAGCTCACTTGTCCAGGTAATCCCCCGTCTTAGCGTTGTGCTTCTGTTTGTGGTCTGGCAGGGGTCCATGAAGAAGATACTGATTTGCATGCCTCCATTTTCTGTCAGTGGGATCTGGATTGGTGTC